TTTCTTATGGTTTCAGCAGATCGATAACTTTTAATAAAGTCAACGTTGAAGTTGTTCTTCAGCTTCAGCACCAAGGTATCTGCTCACGTCAGCTACAACCGCGTTTTCATTAGCGCAAAAGTTTTACGCAGACGCAGTAAGATGTTTATAATTGGAGCCTTTTATTTAAACAATTCCTTAACAAAATTACCGCGTTTGCGTATGTTGGCCATGCATATGCTTTTGCGCTAATGAAAAACAGGATGAAAACCAGCCTTGAAGAAGCTCAGTCACGGCATTTTGAGTATTTCTGCCGAAGCACAAAATTGCCTTAAAATTGAACAAAACCTGAAAATAACAGTTGACTAAAATAGAAAAATAACTACGAGATAATGATAAACCATAAAGGAACAATGATGGTTAAGAAAGGAGAAGATTAACACGGATTACAAACGATAAACTTGAAAATTTTAGGCTGAACTTTTTCAGATGCGCAGATCTTGACGTAGCTTCAGATAAATTCCATGAACAATAATACAAATAAATACATAATGTCCCAACAACAGGTATATTTTATTGATTTCATTAGTGCTCATGAGTATAAATTACCAAGATATAATGTTATTGAATCTACAATCATAAATGTAATCTAAACCAAAATATGACCAGTGACCTTCAGGAGAAGTANACAAATCACGCGCAAAACAAGTACATAAATCTTACAATGATTTGTACTTTACCTTAGGCTGGTCTTACAGATTTCTTGTATTCCGTCTTCTATTCCTCTAAGTCGCAAGAAAGATTCAAAAACGGAAGACAGGTTTTTGAAAAAAAAGGTTAATAAATTAGTTTCTTGTTAGACATCTGCTCGAGTGCAGACTCGTTGTGCAATTTTAGTTGTTAACGCTTACAGCGATACGACACTCTAAAATGTCTAATAAGATTAATTTACCACTGCGTTAAAGGGGCCAAGTCACACAATTGTAGACAATTTCAGCACAGAACAACTGATCAGAGAACTAGAATCAGCTGAAAATGAATACAAACCAACTTCAAACTGTGGAAGCAATTTAAAAAAAAGCAGAAACGCCAAACAGATACAAGGATGTGCACTGTTGGAGCATGTAGATTAAAACGGATTCAGTCATTTTTCATCCGCCCGACTTCTTAAGTTGTATTTAAGTGTCATTTATAATGCTTGGAGTTATTCTTGTTTGCTATGTGGCCAGGATTTTGCCAATAAAAGACTACTGCTCTGCTAATTTGAAGTTAAAAGACAAAAACTAATGAACATGAACAGAATTAGTAAAAATACTGTGACCTAGCCCGTTTAATGACTCTGTCGATATTGTTTTTGTTGAAAAAGATATCGGTATTTATGAAGTTAAATTGGTCCTAAATAATAGTTTCCTCAGTTTTCGACCTCACCTTAACACATAGAAGTCAAGTTAACCGTGGTATATCTTCATGTCACGTAGTGCAATGCTGAGTCATTCTTAGTCCACTAGTTGAACCTACGGAATAAAGTAAAAGAGTATCGCGCTATATAACTGTATTTATTTTATTATTTATTTATTATTAACAAAACAGACGATTAGTAAGACACATGCACTCCATGTGTCACGTTCTCTTCTCATCGCAGACGCTTCAGAATTATTTCGTTTCTTTTAATTTTCTTTTCTTTCTAACAATTCAATTCATAATTCTAAAGTTCTGATATTTGCAGGAATACGCTTCCACTTCTTGAGTAGAGTGTTACGTATGCGAATATTAAGACATGTTTTTAACCACGACGTAAGCTGGAACAAGTACAAGCATATAGCTAAGTATAACGGCAGTGAGGACACCCACAGCACTATGCTATAAGCATAAGCATAAACATTACCGCCATCTTGTTTTACTGTATCGAGGGGGTAAGGTAAGGTAGGTAAGTGGCCCATCAGGCCGGAGCTTATCCCGGTTTCTGTAGCATGAAGCGACTAGGAGTATTT